GGCAGCCTCAAATGGTTGGGGACCACTGTGATAAACAAATGCTTATCAGATTGTTGAGTAGCCACTGGACTAGTTGCTTCCCCTCCCCTTGCTGCCTCTATCAGAGAGAGGTAGCAAGTGGGGAGAGAGGAGCAGGAACCAGTGCTGGGGGAACTGGTTTAAACCAGTTCTCCCCAAGCACTGTCTCTGCAGGGGACAGAGGAGGCAGAAGCATGACGGAAATAGCAGGAGTGGGGTTTGCTTCAGTCCCCGCTGGCACCAGTTTCTGCTGCCAGTTGGGGCTTTTGTACATTTCAAAAACAGAAGGGCCACAAGGAGCATGGGGTGAACAGGGACTCAAGCACTCCCTGCTTGCCCCGTGCTCTCTGTTGTGCGCCCACCCTCCTTGCTGCCTCTGAGAGGCAGCAGTGCGGGGCAGGGGGGAACAGGAGCCCATATAGACAGGGGCTGCTTGGTGGCAACAGGTCTTGTTTGCTGCGGCCAGAGGCTGCTGCGGAAGCATCCCATGTTTATGGTGGTCCTGGCTCACACTGATCACTGAACTTCTACATTTAAAATGTAGTAAGAGCCCAGCGACTTGTACTGCATTTCAAATGCAGTATAAAAGCAGCAGTGCAGGTAACTCCGGAGCCGGCTCCTGGAGCTATTTCCACTGCCGCTCTGCGCAGCGGTGCTTATCAGCTAACTGTATATGATTAGCCAGGCAATTGCATTTTTCTGCCTTTAGGTGGGGAAGCAGGTGGAGCAGCCTCTGTTAGCAGGGAGCTGGGGGAAAGGGAGGTCTTCTGTGACGGGAGCTGGTCTGTGCTGGGAGCCAACTTTTAAACTGGCTCCCCTCGTGGACTGACTCCACCTGCCACCCTGTGCTGCTGCCTCTTATATTAAGGCATCAGGGAGGGGTAGTAGAGGGCTCCCCATGAGTGCAGCTGGGAGTGCACTGGCTGCTGGCCATGCCCTCAGGAGGAGGGGAGCATTTTGGTAAGTGTGTAGCTGCTAAAAATTGCTGTGGCTACACGATTACTAAAATAACATATCTAACATCCTTATCTTCTACCTCCTCAGCAAACACTGCTAGCTATCTTCTACATTCAATGGATGTGAACAAGCACTCTAAGAAGAAAAGACAGTTACCTGTTTCAGTAACTGGTGTTCTCAAAATGTGTTGCTCATGTCCATTCACTCTCCTTCCCCAGTGTTGGAGTGTCCCAGCAAAAGAAACTGAAGAGGGAGGGGCTTGGTAACACCCTATATAGCATGCCATTCCAGGGGGGTGCTGAGACCCAGCCCCCTATGAGTACTGCTGAGGGAAAAATTGGCACCAGTGCTTGTGGTGAGAAGACAAGCCTCTGTGTTACATGGACATAAGCAACACATTTCAAAGAACACCAGTTACAGAAACAGGTCGTTTTCTTGAGGAATAAATTGCTTTGGTGTAACTAAGGCATTAGACTCAGTATAGGATATGTGAAACACTGTGTCTTGAAATACACAAGACACTAAACAGATGATCTATGGTCTGTACTGGAATTAATCTCTGACAACAACTATTAAAACCTACATTTTAGGGCATAACAATTTAAGTATTCCTCTAATGGGGCTCATGACTAGGGTTAGGGATGTTAAATATTGGTTAATTGACTAGTTGACTAACCTCATGAATTCTTATTGGTTACGTGACTATTCTATAGTCCCTGGTGGTGGGGCCAGCAGCCAGTGCTCTCTGGCTCCACTCCTGAGGAGCTCCCTGCCACTCAGCAAAGGCAGCAGCTTGGGGTGCCAGGCAGGAGCAGGTACAGAGGCAGCAGCGCAGGGTGGTAGCAGCCCTTGTGTGGGAGAGTTTGAGTTCCAGGAACCAGCATGAGCTGGAACTGAGCCAGGCTGCCTACCTGCCCAGCTCCTAATACACTTTAAATGCAGCGCCTCAGCAGGGGTAGGTCCCAGACACAGTGCAAGCTGGAACTCAGCCAGTCTGCTAAAAGATGTACTGGTGGGAGGGGGGGGGGAATGCATGTGTAGTCTATAGCATTAACCTATAAGCTTTTGCCAATTGGTTAATCGATTACATTATTGCATCCTTACTCTGGGTAGAATAAACTGGTGGTCTACAGTGGCATTAGTGTCTTGTGAAACTTTATTCTGATCTTTACATTCATTCCATTGTATTCCTTTTCAATGTCAGGCTACTCCATGTGTTCTTCATGTATAGCTGTGGCTCCCAAACTGTTCCTTGAATCAGCTAGCAAGTCCAAATAAATGGTGGTGGTTTTTTTTTTTTTTTTTTAAAGGAACTGGCTGCAGTGCCTTTTCTCAACCATAGGTCACTATCGCTGTCCAGTCCTCTTTCCAGAGTGGAATCCCATTTCAAAATTAAATGAAACTACAGATACAGGGCACCCAATTAGATGTGGGTTTGTCTGTTTTTATTTGTTAAAGCTTTAATACTTATACAGTAATTCCTCATTTAACACGTGCTGGCTTAACATGTTTTCGCGATAGCACAATTTTTTTTTTTTTTAAGGCAACATTTTTTGAATTACATGACCGTCTCTGGAATAACACAATTTCCCCAGCCGGCCCGTTGCCGGTGACTGCACGGGGCTTCCCCCGCCTCCCTGCAAAGCAGCGGCGGGTTTGTTGCGGTGTTCCCTGGCAAACCTCCCATGCCAGATGCAGTGCAGGTCCCAGCAGACGCGTCCCAGAGGCATACTCCCAACCTGATCCCCCCTCCCCTTTCTTCCCCTTCCCTTCTCTAGAGCCAAACACCTCCCCTCTCTGCTGTAACCCAGTCTCCCCGCCTCTTCCCCTCCCCCCAGCCAAACAGCCCAGGACTCTACACACTATTTCATTAGCAGCAGTGGGGCTCCCAGTCACCATGCCCCTTGGCAACTGCTCCCTTGGCTCACCCTCCCCCCGTGGGCCTGAATTCAATGGAAACGGAGTAGAGTGAAGTGGTGATGTCCATTTAACTCTTGTTCAGTGCCAGGTATAGCAGATTGTTAGAATGCCCACCTCAAATCCTAAAATTTTATTAAAAATAATTAAGGTCAAAGACTGTTTTTGTGAAGAGACTACATTTTCACTCAAATGTAGTCACTTAGTCTTGACCCATTAGTGTGATGAAACTGTCTCCACAGGGGAAATAGGAAGTCAACAGAATTTGACTAGTGAAACAAATGACTGCTTGCCTACAACTGCAAGAAGACTTAAATCTCTGGGATCAACAGTAAGTGTGTGTGTGTGTGGTGTTTTTCCCTTTGTGTCTCTGGTATAGTGTTAATGCATTTAGTCTAGTCTGAATTTTGGTGTTTAAAACCCTTCAGTCTCCAAGCTGAACAATTTGGTAGGATGACTAGGGTATTTTTTTTTCAAGGTCCATTCTTAGGATCTAGTCCTGTAGGGATTAAGAAGGATCAAGATTTTTTTTTTTAATTGAATGTATCTTAGTTAAACCTCAGGGTCAATAAAAACTCTGCCTGTACTGGAGAGGTGGTAGGTTTTCCTGAAAAGGGAAAAGTAGGGAATAGAAAGAGCAGAAGCACTCAAACTTTCTACTGAAAGTGAGGTGCTAAGTAGCTATTGAGCTCTTTTGCCTTCCCCATAGTAGACTAAAGTAAAAAGCAGAAAGCCCAAATATGGAGACATGAGAGATTGAAGGCCCCAAATACCAAGGATGCTTGGGTGAGAAGAGCACACTGCCATGAAGTCCTGTGAAGAGAAGGAGTAAAATACACTTGGTGTGTGACAGCCAATTTAAATATTTATACCTTGCAGGAGATAGGGTTTTGGTGCAGGGTTATGAGACATTTGGGGTGTTTATGTATTTCCCCCCCCCCCGGGGGGGGGGGGGGAAGTGTGGACTAGATGAGTTAGTGTATTCATTTAAATGGTTAACTGATGAGCTTGGGCTCGTGGGTTAACCTTCATGGTTACAAATGAGGCACCCCCCCTCCTTCCTCTGTGTCAGAGGCAGTGGGGTGGGGAAAGCAGGCAGGAGCTGGTGCTTGTGGGGAGCTGTCCTTTTCAGTAGGCTCCCCATGACCACACATTCCTGTGGAGGTCTCCCCCATGCTGCTGCCTCTCTATCATGTGGGGATCTGTCCCTACTCCCCCATTTACTGCTGAATTTTTCAGCTGTCACATGTTTACAAAAAACCCGCTTTTTAGTATCCCTAATGTGGACTAGTAAGTTCAGTGGTAGGAAGTCTTGCTAATACAACTTCAATTTCAAGTTGTTGGTACTATATTACATAAACCAATATAAAACTTCATGTGATGATATCGGTTCAAATAGCCCAATATCCTGGATCTCATATAGTGACAGTTTAAGAAACCCTTCAATGGAATTATGCCTATAACTGGTATTCAGTTAGTACTTGGTTCTTTTCAGACTTTGTAATTCTTACATGGTTTTTCTCCTATCTAAAGGATACAACCCTCATGAAAGAGATGAAAAAACAGAAGATCCTTGAGAGAGAGGTATGAGCTGCTTTTCTTTTTAATGTGACTACTGTTAGTTTCATAGGAATTAAAATTGCTAGCTAATAAAATATCAGAAGGGTAGCTGTGTTAGTCTGAATCTGCAAAAGCGGTGAGGAGTCCTGTGGCACTTTATAAACTAACTGAAGTGTAGGAGCATAATCAAGGAGGATGAGGCCCGCTTCTAGTAGCTGATCTGGAGGTGTGAATTCCACAAGAGGAGAAGCTGCTTTTGTAGTTAGCAAGCCATTCACAGTCTTTGTTTAATCCAGAGTTGATTGTGTCAAACTTGAAGATGAACTGTAGCTCAGCAGTTTCTCTTTGAAGTCTGGTCCTGAAGTTCTGCAGCAAAAAAGTTCAGGCCTTTAGATCTGCAATTGTGTGTCCAGGAAGATTGAAGTGTTCCCCTACAGGTTTTTGTATGTTGCCATTCCTAATATCAGATTTGTGTCCATTGATTCTTTTACGTAGGGACTGTCACCCCCTCCACCCCCCAGCACCACCTCAGGGTGAGGCCAGGCAGGCTTCTACCACTCCCACCCCATTCCCCATTCCCTGTGCCCAGTCCTGACCGTCCCCCTTATTCGCCCGTCCCCACCCCCATGGACTGTCCCCCGACCTGAAGCATATTCTCACCAGCAACTACACACCGCACCATAATAACTCGAACTCAGGAACCAATCCTTGCAACAAACCTCGGTGCCAACTCTGCCCACATATATACACCAGCAACACCATCACAGGACCTAACCAGATCAGCCATACTGTCACTGGTACATTCTCCTGCACATCTACTAACGTAATATATGCCATCATGTGCCAACAATGCCCCACTGCTATATACATCGGCCAAACTGGACAGTCCCTACGTAAAAGAATCAATGGACACAAATCTGATATTAGGAATGGCAACATACAAAAACCTGTAGGGGAACACTTCAATCTTCCTGGACACACAATTGCAGATCTAAAGGTAGCCATCCTGCAGCAAAAAAACTTCAGGACCAGACTTCAAAGAGAAACTGCTGAGCTACAGTTCATCTTCAAGTTTGACACAATCAACTCTGGATTAAACAAAGACTGTGAATGGCTTGCTAACTACAAAAGCAGCTTCTCCTCTCTTGGAATTCACGCCTCCAGATCAGCTACTAGAAGTGGGCCTCATCCTCCTTGATTGGATCCACCTCATCATCTCCAGCCTGATTCTGGCCTGCATATTTATATCTGCCTATGGAAATTTCCACTACATGCATCAGACGAAGTGGGTCTTTGCCCACGAAAGCTTATGCTCCTACACTTCAGTTAGTCTATAAGGTGCCACAGGACTCCTCGCCGCTTTTGCTAATAAAATATGTAACCAGACATGTTGAGAGAGCTTATGAATAATATGACCAAAGCAAAATGTTACCAGTATAACTGTGGATTAACTACCAGCTCTGTTAGTGTACAAAACAATGACATTTTAATTTGTTGCCTATTCTTTATAGATGCTTATAACACACTCATAATGACTTAACTCTATTAATGCATTCAGCTGAATCTTCTATGTAATTATCTGCTGAAGCTGTAGTTTTGGAATTAAGATACAAACTTTCAAGTTTGGGATTTAAACTTCTCCCCTTCATTACTAAAACTTCTCCCCTTCAGGTATTTAGGATGTGGTATTGAAACAAGTGTCTTTCCACCCCTTCATCCACAGGGCCTGTTTTGCCCAAACTGCAAGTTGGAATAGCCATGAGATTACTCTTTCACCCCAGTTGAAATAAACTTGAGTAGGGCAAAGTATCCAAATGATATCCTAAGGATACCAAAAGCTATTAAGCTCAATGGCAGGTAAAGATTTTCTGTGATAAGGGAGTGTTATTTCCCTTTTTTCCCAATAATCGAAAGCTTTTACAACTAAGAATAATCTATCTTTACAGGAGAGCAATGGGCATCACTCACTGAACTTGTTTGTTTTTAGAAGTTAGAAAACGTGTAATGAATATTTAAACAACTTATTTCTCTAGATTCGTGCATTAGTGAGAGAACGTGGAGAGCAGGATAAACGACTCCAGGCTCTAGAGGAGGATTTCATGAAGTCTGAAGCAAAACTAACTGCAGCAGTCAGGGAGAAAACCTCTCTCTTGGCGAATGTTGCTTCTCTGGAAAAACAGCTTCTCGAATTAACAAGAACCAATGAATTTTTAAAATCAAAGGTATTTGAATGAACCTGAATCACTTAGCAAATCTCAGCCAATTAGATTATGCTTTTCATCACTTTCTGTGCAAGTGATATCCTCAAGCTTGTTAACAAGTAAAAACATTAATGTTTTTAGTTGGGGATAGTAGGTAGACTACTTTAACTAGTAAGGCTAATGCTCAGGCTTGTGTAAATGGAACACCAGGCTTTACTTAGTAAAATAGGCTTCTCCCATTTATAATCCCAACTTTAAGAGCAGGGGTGGGGAACCTCTCTTGGGTTGGGGCCACTGACCCACAAAAAAAATCAGCTGGGGGGGACCAGAAGCATTGTGAGTAGCCCCTGACTGAGAAGGAGAAAAACCCTCCCTACATTCCCATTCCACACAAGAGGCTGGGGGGCGGCGGGGGCCTAGGCAAGTAGGTTTTGTGTGCTCCAGCCCTGCGGTTGGGCGGGGCTGGAGCACCAGTGTAGGCTCCCTAATGCTGAGCCTCAAAGGGATTGGATCCATGTAGGCTGGGGGCCACATCTGGTACCTTGGCCTGAGGTTCCCCACCCATGTTTTAGAGAGAGGTATGGATTGACTCTGACTCAAAAAACTTCAGTTACATCCACACAATTACATTCACACTGCAATCGCGTTCTTCAGAAAGAAAACTGGAAGAACAGAGTGGTTTTTCCAACACAGGTAAGCCTCATTCTATGAGGAAGAAGCCTTTTTCTGAAAGAACTTTTTTGGAAGAAGGGAGAGTATGGACGGGGAAGAAGGAGCTCTTTGTAAAGAAGAGGAAAAAGCACAGGTGCCCTGGTGACTACTTCTTCCATACTAATAACAGCTGAAATGCGAGATAGCGTCCACACTGAATGGACACCATCTCTTGAAAAAGCAGATTGCGTCTTTGATGCACTTCTGCAGTGTGGATGATCTTTTTCAGAAGAAGTTTTTCCGGAAGATATCTTCCGGAAGAGCTGCTTCCAAAAGAAGTCTGCAGTCTAGACATAGCCTCAGTGTACACAAATTGGCAGAGGGACAATAGGGATGAAATCTGTTTATTTCTCACTTATGTTTGTTTATTTAAAAGCATTTTTGCTGTTAATAAGCATGTTTGTTTCTGGAGACACAATCCACAATTTGAGAACTGCAAAACTAAATATCTCTGATATAAGGATGTGCTAGCATACACAAGTTGAAATCTGCTTTTAATTCTAAGGAGCAACTTCAATTTTATGTACTGTATAGGCAATTGATAACTTTCAGGGGGAATGACTAGTGGTTTGTGTGAATACGTTCTGAGTATAACGTGTTTGTAGGCTTCAGCTTCATTCTTTCAGGTTCCTGCCCACACCAGTAATGAGACCTATTATACTTTGTTAAATGCATAAAACTGATTCAAATAAATAGAATAAAACTTCTCAATTTGTTTTGCAACACTTTATTAGTAGATACTCTAGAACTTTATCATTTAAAAGCATTGTCACAAATCTGCCTCCTTTTTAACATACATTTGATTTGGCTTATAAGTTGACTTAGTTGTGCATGTTGTCTAAACTACAACTTTTTCCTCCTCCAAGTCAGTTAAGAAATGTAAACATTCTCTTTTCGTGGCAGAGTTAAGTGGGGGGAATTATAAGAGTCTTCCTGCACTCTTCTTATAATGGATGTGAATTGCTATTCTGTGTAGGACTAATTCTGTATTCAAACACTTTCTGCTTATCGCTAATCAAGTTTTCTGAAGATGGGGCACAGAAAAAAATGAGCAGTTTATGTATGGAGATAATGAAACTCAGAAACAAAATGGAGGCAAAGAATAAGGTAAGTTACTGTTCTGAAATTCCTCACTTGACAAACTTGGATCTTTCAAAATTGGAAGTGGGGTACTAGCTTTTATACATGGTAGCTTGCAATTTGAAATGTGTGTAATTCACTAACTAATCATGGGTTGTTCCAATTGATCTGTCAGAAATCGCTTTTCCATCCATCTGTCAAGTTTGTGCTGCAAGATTACAGCAGAGACGGGAACAGAACCCAGATAATGAGGATTCTAGAAATCCTTAGATGTCCCCATATTCATGTGCCTGGCAAGGATAAGTCTGCTCTAAGCGTGGCAAATAAAATCAGGTGGTTTATTCTATAATTAGATTGACCAACCCAATATCAAAAGAGCTTCTGAAGCACCTTGCTGGTTACCAAGAAGCTAAACTGTCCCCTTTAGGAATTTCAGCCATTGGTTCTCATCCAAACAAACAGGTATAGTATAGTGAGAAGTTACTAAACAAACAATTTATTTTGTGTGAGGCTCTACTAATACCAAAGAATCAGACACTTATTCCCAGGTCAATATGCATCTCAGCTCTTACCCAGTATCATGCTGGCAGTTTATTAAAAGATTGGCTAACTAAAGATGCTCTTAAAGAGTTGTTGTTTAGCTATCCAATCATTCACCTAATATAAAATGACTTTCAGTGTTCATAGACCAGTATCATAGCAGCAATCACTGCTTGCAAGAGACTATAAGTCTCTGGTAATTTCCAAAACACTGAAGGTCCTCAGTCCATAGTTTAAAAATTTTTAAACCGATAGTCTAGAAAATTTGAGTACGAATTAGGCAAAAAAATGGAGAAATCTCTGGTGTCTTTATATCAGTGTTTCTTAAAATATGTTCGCAGAACACTGTTCCGTGAACAACTCACAGGTGTGCCGCGACCTCTTCTTTGATTTTGTTACTTCTTTGTTTTTGTCGTTTGTTTGACATCTTTTTGTTTGTTTTATTTTATTTAAAGAAAATTCTCATAGCTGTTCCACATACAAAAATATTATTGTTTGGTGTTCCGTGGCCTTAAAGTTTAAGATACACTGCTTTATATCCTCTGCTATCTACATGGAAAGTTACCGTCCCAAGATGGATTCCAGGATCATATGACCGTGTGTAACTTCTAGTAAAAGATCATTAGGTCACACATCTTCATCAGATGTCCTTGTATAGTTTGCAAAATCACAGGAGTGACCATTGGCTCCTCATTTTGAGACCTGTACAAGAAAGATCTACTTCTTCAGTGGCCCATTGTGAGAGTGGAATGTCTTTACTGGTGCATCAACACACAGTTGACTGGCCTTGATGTATGCCCTGCAAATGTATTGTACATCTATGTGTTGAGATAAAGATATGTCGTTCAGATACATAGATTTAAACCAGGATAGTCCTTGACAAATTGCAACTTTTCCATTGACCCCTTATATTGCAATTGTATATCATATATCTTATACAAAGTGTAACAGAAACCATGATACAAATGGTCACTGCAGTCATACATGCACCACAATCCAATTGTCTTTAGATCCCACTACTTCTAGAAAGTAAACAAAATTGTGTCCTTTTAATTCTGTAAAGCTCTGCCATAAATATAGCTTCCTGATACCCTTTCTCATTTCATATTAATTTTAAATTCCGAAGTGATAATCTGACAGCAATTGCACTGGGCTGTATAAGTAGTGAATTCTGATTTGAGGCAAACTATGTTGGATAAATAAACCTGCCTTAGGGCTTTATAGGAATGTAACTTGTTGGCTGTCTTTTATACTTGTGAAACTTTTATGTAACTATTAATTAATGACTTTTTTTTTTTTTTTTTTTTTTTTTTTTTAAAGCATGTCCTTGCTAAACAGGAAGACATGGAAATGAAACTGCAGGCAGTCCAGAAGAATCTAGTGCATTCCAAAGGAAAAGTGGCACAGTTGGAAGAAAAATTGTAAGTGATAGAAGAATTAGCTCTGGTATAAATCACTAATTCTTCCATTGTTGCTTATACTTAACTGTAGGGATGTAAATAGACGGCAAATTAAATGAGTTTCAGCAAATCCGGATGCTAAAGGGAAGAGAAATACTGAAATCTTCCCAGGGATTAGAATCTGATATAAGAGGAAACTAATAAGTGATTCTGCAAATCAGCTCTAGGCCCTATTTTGCCAGGCACCTCTTAGAATTCTGTATATGTCACTGCCCCAGTTGAGTATCTGTGTGTAGCAAGACAAAATGGCTCGTCTAATATTCCACTTGTGACTGGAATTAAAATCTGTCGGTCTTGGATGATTTACCTTATTTAGTGTAAAGAAGGTATTAGATCCTGCAAGGTTATGGAAGAAATTGTATCAGTTTGAGCTACTGGTGTATTGTAGGCAACCAGTTGCCCAAGTCTATTATAGTTCGAGAGCTAGCATGTATAATATAGTCCGAAGGATTGTTTAATGGGAAAGCAGTGGACTAGGGCTCAAAATAGTTGGCCCAGGAGCTGAACTCTTTCTTGTGTAAAGACACCACTTCAAGCTGAATTACTTAACTTGCAGTATTACAAGGGCAGAGAGGCAGGCCCTAGCCAGCTGCTCAATTTAACCTTGAAGCCAATCAACAACCAGTGTTCTTCCCCTCACTATGCGGGCCATTGCTTTTCTACATGACTAGTCATTTAAAAAAAAATGTAAAATGTGATGCACTCCGTCATGAAGTCAAGCATGTGGTGAAGGAGAGCAGAATCTGCTGTACACCAACATGTTTTGTACACTTTTTAAGTGTCTCAATACTCTTGTCATCTGAAGAAGTGGGTTGTGCGCATGAGAGCTCATGATGCCATCTACATGTTTTGTTAGTTTTAATGTACTAGACTGTTTTTCCTGTTACAGACTAACTTGGCTACGCCTCTGAAGCTTTTCAGCTAACTTTGCAATTTTACTATAAAACTCAAAAATGCATGAAACTCGTGACGTTTCTAATGGTAAACTTAGAGCTAATAGTTTTGGGGGAAATGCAGCTAGTCATGGGAGACCTTTGTTTGTTTGTTTGTTTTTTTTGTTTAAATCCTCAATCCATCTTCTCACTTCTACCAGCAGCAGCAGTTGCTGACAGCTCAGGACCTCAACATCTCATGCTTCCTTCTCATATTGTTGGACAGGGTTGCTAGGCCAGGCATGGGAGAAATTGAATTAACACATTTTGAGAACTCATGCTTATTCCTTCCCACATACACATGAATGATTGAACATTCGTTATTTGAAAGTGATGAAAAAAGTGTTGGTAGATTTTGCAGTTTGTGACTCTAACAAATTCATGAAGAAACTTGTTTTAATTTCATATTGTGTAGTACTGAGTTATTTATTTGTGTCTTCTAGTTCATGATTGGATACCTTAATACTAGCAATCATCAGATGAATGCAGAATATCTATTGGTTGTCTGCAGGCAGCTGCTCATTATCCTTAGCATCTGTACTGCTCTTCTTGAGTATCTGGTTTTAGAACTGTCACGTTAAGTCCAGCATCTAACCTTATTTTTAGAACTGCTACTGAGAGAAACAAGGTTGAAGAAAAGTCTGACACTGAGAAACTCTTGGAATATATCACAGAACTCAGGTAACAAGCTTCTATTTTTAGACAGACAAATCAAGTGTCTCAACTAAAGCTTGAAGGCTCGATCAAGCTTTTAATAGGATCTCTAAATGGAATTATGTGAACATGAGTATTATGACTCTTCCTTTTACATGGGAAGGGAGGGTTTTTTTGTTTTTTTTAACAGAACTCTCTAGTTGATTTCTTAGATTTAAAATGATCAGACTAGCTTGAAGTTGAGCGAGGCTTCACCTCTCTGGAAGTACATGACTCTGTACAGATGGTCAACTCTACCTATGCTGATTTTCCCCCCCCCCCTTCTTTACTACAGATGGTTTTTCAACATCAATGGGACAACTAAGAGTATTGCAGATCAAAATATATAGCGAGAGCCTATGTAGTGTGGGAAGCCAGCATTTTTAGTGTGGAATTGGGATGCAGTAAATTCTGTAGCACTTTATTAGGAATCCACCCTGCCCCTTACAGGGAATAGTGTTGCCCTTGAGCAGAACCTTGTAGTAATGCAAACATCCTGGTGACTTCTTTGAATCTGCAGTTTCTGCACAAGTCTGAGACTGGTTTCCATGTCTCCTCTCTGGAGAACATGCAAACTGTATCCAAATGGCTGGGGTGTGGGAGACTCTTAATTGAGAGATTAATAGAAATTCATGAATAATTCCATAGTCTTCGTTAACACAAGCAGTCTTCACTACAGATCAGATTAATGCAGTTTCTACTTTGAAAGTTAAAGGTGAACTAAAGACCTGATCTCTGTCATTGCACAAAGAGCCGAGAGGTGGGGGTGGGGGGAGTTGTTGAGACACCCCTCTTCCCCCCCAAAAAAGGCCCAGACACTGAGATGCTGCCCTTTCAAAAGCAGGTATTTCCCTTTTTACGGTGGCCATTTTTGAAGGATGCATGGGACGCTGTGGCTCTATCTTTCACACCGTTGCCCCTTGAAGGTCTCTGGGTGTAGGTGTGGGAGCCACAATTTTTTCTTTGAAGAGCTACATTGCGGCTGTGAGCTGCAAGTTGGCCACACCTGATATAGATCCTGTCTGGAGCTCTCCTATCTAGAAATTAATCTTTCTCAAGTTCTGTTGAGTTTCTTGGAACCTCAGTGTTACATGGGATTACATTTTACAAGGTGCAAATGGTGACACAACTAATGTAAGCTTAAGCAAAATGTAATGCTGACATGTCTGGATTTTTTTTCTTAGTGGAGTTGCAGAACAAGTGCAGAAGTACAAACTAGATGTTCTCCAAATGGAGAAGTTACTGGTGCAAAAGGACCAGGACATTATGGCCTTGAATGATTGCTTTACAAGGAAAGAGGAAAAACTATCTAAATTCATCAGAGAGCTTAATGAGAGATGTCAGTTGTTTGAACATGAAAAAGGTAATTTCTGTAATGCTGTGCAGGGGCATGGCCAGTCAATTGTGAGGTGTTGCCACTCGCTGCTTCCCCTCCCCCTCCCCCCCAATCTCCAATGAATAGCCTGCACTGATGCTACATCTTCCTGTGAAAGGGGGGGGGGGGGGTGTCTGCTTCCTTCCATTGGCTGCGCGCCAGATCCGGCATCTCAAGAAGCACGCGCTGCTCCTCCCTTCCCCACAACAGCGGGTGTGTTTCCTGAGATGCCAGCTCTGGACTCCCCCTACCTCAAGGAAGTGGTGGGATCTTGGGGAAGGGATGGGGTATATCTTGGCTGCCCTTACACTTTTAAAAAATGATCTTGGGTGTAAAAAGATCACTGCTATAGTGTTATAAGCTGTGGGCTGAGTCTCTGGGCCCTTACGTGCCCAAACTTATTTCATTCAGATGTTCTGTAGCATAACTCTATTAAAATGTAGGCTAGTGTGTCCCAAGTGTAAACCATGGTGCATTTTACAGAGCTGCTTGTTTCTCTGTTAGCCCAAATTCTAGTCAAAAGTATTTATACTAACAAATATTAAAAAGTTCACCCAGCAGCAAATGAGGGATGGGGAGATGGCTGAACCAGTTTGCTTTACCTACTTACTTTAGAAATTACACTTGCAAAAATCACTTAGTTCTAGTTCCATGTTCTAGAATCACCATTCATATGGTGGCGAATGGAGTGTAAACCATTCTCCCAGCTGTATTGTAGTGTCATAACTCACCATTTTATATCATGGCTTCTGACTCCACTATGGGCATGTCTAGACTACATATCTCTTTCGAAAGAGCGATGTAAATTAGACAGATCAAAATTGCAAATTAAGCTGGAATTTGAATTTCCTGTGCTTAATTTGCGTAATTGTGTCAAAGCGGTCTTTTGAAAAAGGGCACTTCAAAAGTAAAACTGTTGTCTAGATGTGGTTCTTTTGGGGGGGGACCCCTTTTTTGAAAGATCCTGTACTCCTCAAAAAATGAGTACAGGATCTTTCAAAAAGGTGGTATGTGTGAGTTCCCCCTCTCCCCAAAAGAACCACATCTAGACAGCGGTTTCACTTTTGAAATGCCCTTTTTCAAAAGACTGCTGTGACACAATTATGCAAATGAAGAGTGGGATATTTAAATCCCTGCTTCATTTGCATTTTCGATCTGCCTAATTTACATCCCTCTTTTGACAGAGGGATGTAGTTTAGACATACCCTAAGGGGCCTGTTAAATTAAGCCTGCAATACTTGTCATCTTCAGTAGTTCATGTATCAATTTTTCTTCATTGAAAGTTTCTATAAAGCCTATTGGCCTGGTCAGTGAGGACAGCTCTTAATTATTTATCCTCAAAGCTTTATTATATTGGAAACTTTCTTCCCTAGAGACGCTCTTAACTGAGAATCGAGAGAGAGAGCAAAGTATGAATGCTGAAATAGAAACCTTGAAAAAGAGGCTTCTCCTAGAGGAGCAAGAACACCAAAAACTTCAGCAGAAACAGAAAGAGATGTGTTATCAGTTACAACAGGAGAAGGTAAACAAAATACAAACTTAATATAATAAATGTATTGAATTCTTGTTCTGGTTTAGATTAAACCTATTGTGAATGTACTGATGAGCTAGGGCATGTTTACCTACAGGAAGATTATTGGCATAGTTACAGTAGAGTAGTTTGTTTGATCATCTATGTCATGTAGACAAGCCCTACCTTTTTGTTCATAAAATCTAAGATCGCTATAAATTTAAATTAAAACTAGGTATTATGTTGGTGCTGTCTTCAGGAACTTTCCACTTCAGTGCATCAAAAGCTGCTAGAGTTTCAAGAAGAGATGACAAATGAGAGGCATGTTTTGGAGGAAGAACTAGAAGCAGCATTGAAGGAGTTGGATAAACTGCATATTAAGGAGGAAAAGGTTGATGAATTAATAAAGCACTTGGAACAAGAGAACAAGTCTAGAGTTGAAGAGCTAGCAGAGATGGAAGCCAAGCTGAAACGGTTTGTGAAAAGAATAACTTTGTTACTTCTAATGAACCTGGGTGTGACAGCGTTTCCTGGGTGCGAGCACCTCGCCCCTTCTCCCCCAGCCGATCCTGGCCCTAGTCTGGGGAGGGGGCGGGGCCCAGCGTACCCACCGTCTGAATTGGACTCGTTGGTCGCCCCACCCGGGGTCTTGGTAGTAGTCTCTAGTTGCGGGGGCGATCACCCCTCAGCCCCCAAGGGACTGGGGGGGGGCTCTGCGACCCCTTCGTCGGTCTTTCCTGCTCCTCGACTTGGCAGAGTAGGAGAGGATTGCGGCATGGAAGGGGAGTGGGGGACCCGGGCCCTCCCTCACCTCCGGGTCCCAGCCCGAGGCCCTAAGCGGAGGTCAGCGACCGGTTGTCGCCCTCCGCGGCAGACGGGGCTGCGGCCCTCAACTCGTCTGCCCACGGGCGCCAAAAGGGTCCCGCCTCGGGCTCCTTCCACTCCCTGCTGACTTGTCCCGCTGGCAGAACAAGTCAGGGTCACTCACCCCGTCGGAGTCGTCGGGCCCGGCCCAGGGTGAGCCGCCAGCTGCCGAGTCCTTCCCTCCGGGTCGCCCCGAGGGATGGGGGTTTGGGGCTCCTGGATGGCAGGGCGCCCGCCGCTGCACTCTCTCCCCTCTTGCCGGGGCGCTCCCGGCTGTTATGGTCACCGGGAGATGACGTCGGGGCGGTAAGCTCCGCCCCCCCGGCGCCGCCCCTTTCACGGGTGTCCCGGCGTGCTCCCGGGTGCTCGGCTGGAGTGTCAGCCGGGGCGGCAGGGGCGGGCGCTTTCTGGCCGCTCGTGCTCAGCCCCGCCTCCTGCTCCCCGCTCCTGTCGGTGCTGCGGGGCGTCCGGCCCCCAGCGCCGCCGCCTTGGTGTGTTCGGCCGCCGCGGCGGCCGCTTTTCCCGTTGCAGGGGGGGTTTCCCCCGCGGGTTCAAGTGCGGACCCCGCCGGGTCCGTCACACTGGGACTGGTAATTCCAAGTTAAAGTTGAAATAAATCTTCTCTAGAATATACAGGATTAAACTAACCTGTGGCTATGAGCTCACTCCGTGCCTCTACCCCCCTCACCCATCCAGCAATGGGATCTAATTCAGTATCTTTATAAAGTCACGTTTAAATTTAAGCAACTCAAACCTATACCTCTATAAGGGTACATCTATGCTACATGGCTATTTCAGGATACCAGAGGTATCCCGAAATAATTATCCCATGTGTACACAAGCCACCTGTTTTTTGAAATATTTTTTTGAAATAAAGGGTGTGCTGTTTCGCCATCCTGGTAACCCTCGTGCCATGAGGTTTAAGGGATGGCTCTAAATAGTGCATTTATTTCCAAATTTGGCACTATGTAGCTATGCCAAATAAGCTATTGCAAAATAGATTCGAAATAAGATATGCAATTTGCATAGTGTAAATTGCATGTCTTATTTTGAGTTTAGGGTATAGACGCACCCTAAATTGAACAATTCAACACCTCCAGTGTTAGCTGCTCTTCAGTTTTTTAATCTAACAGCATCAGAGATGTTAAATCAATTACTGTTTTTATTTTTGTATCCAACATTAGAGTGTCTAATATCAAAATAGCATCTTTAATTCTATGAACTGCTGAAGACAGTTAATTGAGGCAAGATAATGAAAATACCTAAAGCAAAGTGGTGTGCACAAATGTATTCTATTTAAGTTATTTCTGTTCCACATGAAGATAAAATCTAGAATACTGTACCCTAACTTGATAACCTTGACTTTGGGGTTCTGGAGAAATTAAACTAGCCTAAGGAGAAGTGATGTGAGGACCAGGGAAACAAAAGCAGTTAATCTAAACATCGAGATTACTTATCTAATTGGACTAAATGCCTTATTTGAAACACGTCTGCCTGCCTCTGAACTCAGATTTCTTCTACTCCAATGGTGTAAAATTCTCATCCTACAGACAAAACTGAAATACAGTAAAACTCCAATAGTCCGGCATCCAATAGTCCGGCACTCCTGATAGTCCGGCATCAAAATGGCAAGAGCCTAGTGAGTGAGCTTCGGCAAAAAATGAGTCACAGGGTAACAGCGGCAGCAGCTGAACTAAGCAAAAAGGTTAAAAAAGTCTTAAACATTACAGTATACTGTATACAGTATGTACAATAAAAAGGGTTAAGAACACTTTATATACAGTATATAGTGTGTGTGTGTATGTGTGTGTATATATATATATATATATATATATATAAAAAACCAGTTTATAGTACCTCCTGATAGTCTGGCATATCTGATAATCCGGCACCACCTAGGTCCCATAGGTTCCAGATTATCGGAAGTCTACTGTACTAAGCCCTGGGGAAATGAAATGATTGTGTTTAAATCATAGTCATTGCAACATTTAACTCTTGAAAGTGGCACCGAGGAAATAAATACACTGGTTTGAATTAGAGGTAACACGAAACTGACAGAGTAAGGCCATGTCTACACTACGAGATGAGGTTGAATCTATTAAGGTCGCTTTCTGGTTACCTTGCGCAAAGTTGAAGGTTCATGTCCCCATCACAGGGAAAGAATTCAGAGTTGGAAGTACAGTAGTATGTCCCCATTAGGGAGACTGCTGTTGAATTTGAGAGGGATGCACTATGGGTAGCAATCCCACAGCACCTGCACTACTTTGCATTCTGGGTTATGCTCTCAGTACATCCTGGGACCAAAACTGTGCAGTGGGTAGTTCATGTTTTTCAGTGTCCCATAATGTGCTTATCTACTCCCTCTTCCCCCTTGCTTGACATGAATAGGAAACAGTCTTTTGGCCCTGGTTATCTGTGCAGACATCATAGCAACACGAGCATGGATTCCATTTTGCATCAAACCATTGTGATGTTGTCTATCTTAATGTACCTAATGATTCAGTATGTCGAGTGTACATCTGTCACTCCACCGGGATGAGGTTGAAGATGAATCTCAGAGTCCCATGGATTACTATACAGGCAAACCCTTGTGCTGATGGAAACGCAGCTGCCAAGCAATCCTCTGGACACAAACATCAGTTTTGGTGCTGTGAGACAGACTGGTGGGACCATGTAGTGCTGCCGATATGGGATGATCAGCAGTGGCTGGAAAACATCTGAATGCGCAAGGCTGTTTTTTTGGAATTTTGCAAATGGCTTTCCACGCCTTGAAGCGCAGGACACACAAATGAGACTCACTCTGACCATGAAAAAATGTGGTGATTACCCTATGGAAGCTCTCAACGCCAGATAGCTACTTGTCAGTTGGGAATCAATTCAGAGTGGTGAAATGTACATTGATGGCTATTGTGATGCAAGTAGCAAAAGCAACCATTACTATTCTGCTATCGAGGACTATGACTCTGGGAAATGTGGATGCCTTAACTGTGGCGGGGCAATAGAACGCACATTCCCATTTTGGCCCTTACTTGCCATAGTAAGGATGTGAACAATTAGTCAGCTATCCAATGAGCAAATTGCATCAACTATTCAATTAGCCAAATAGAAATTTTACATCTCTATGCCATAGGAGTACATAAACTGCAAGGGATACTTCTTGATGGTGCGGGTGGATCACAAGGGCTGTTTCACTGACATCAGTGTGGGATGGGCGTGAAAGATGTGTGCATCGTGCATCTTTAAGAACTCCTGCCTCTTCAGAAAGATGCATGTTAGAACTTTTCCTCAGACTAAAAAATCAGAATTCGAGAGGTAGAAATGCCAATAATGATCCTTGGTGACTGCTGTTGCTCTAGTTGACCTCTTGCTCCCATGGCTTATGAAGCCATACATTGGCAGCCTGGATTGCAGTAAGGAGCTGTTCAGCTACAGGCTGAGCAAGTGCAGAATGATAATGGAATGTGCTTTTTGGATGTTTTAAAAGGAAGGTTGACTAGGTTAGATCTCAGTGAAAGCAACATTGCCTTTGTGGTGGCAGCTTGTTGTGTGCACCATAATCTTTGTGAGAGCAAGGGAGAAAGTTATTGGTAGAATGGGGAAGGGCAGAGGGCCTACCTAGGAATTTTGAGCAGTCAGACACCAGGGTAATAAGGAGAGCACAGCATGGGGCAGTGCAAATCAGAGGCTTTGAAAAAATGTTGCTCTCGATGAGGTGCTCCTACATTTCCTGTGATTGCCTGTAATCCCCTATCCTACTCCTGCAATACAGTACCTGTTCACAAAATTTGTTTTGCATGTCAGCTGGGAAAGAAAAGTCAATGGTGGGAACTTGAAGGGCAGGGGTAGGGGAAGCATCTCAAACACAAGAAGGGCGGCAAAAGGCCATGTAGACACTAGAGGTTAAATACGATGCTGCCCTTGAGTCTCCTCCTCTCCTACCCCCACCTCCCCTTCCCATGGGTGTCCTGGGGCCCCTGGGTATGCAAGGACCTGGCTAAGGATCAGTGAAGGGAGGGAAAGTTAGCCACCCTGCCCTGCTACTCCTCCAGGAGCGTATTCATTGCTCCATTTGCTCCTTGAACACATTTCACCCTTGAATCTGAGTAAGACAGCTGCTGGAGCTGGGAGTAGGAAGCAAGCTGCCTGCTGTTCCCACTGTAACAAAGTTACAAGGACATGTTACAGGAGAGACACTGTTTCAAACCTAAACCTAAGCTGTTAACATAAAGTGAAGGTTTCTGTAAAGGCAATGGAGATGTGCTGGGCGAGGGCAAAGTTATATTTTAAAGCAGCCACAGCGCAGCATGTACACTGCAGAGTTCTCAAGGGAACCTTTGTACTGGCACGGTAAGGGGCCTGCCAGAACATGACCCAGTGGGTGGCGGTTGGGGGCCAGGGTTTACAGGATCTGAAACTGGACACAATACTCCAACTGAGACCTAATCAGCACAGAGTAGAACAGAAGAATGACTTCTTGTGTCTTGATCACAGCACACCTGTTAATGCATCCTAGAATCATGTGTGTTTTTTGCAACAGCATCACACTGACTCATATTTAGCTGTGCTCCACTATAAACCCTAGATTGCTTTCTGCCATACTCCTCCCTACAGTTGCTTCCCATTCTATATGTGTGAAACTGATTGTTTTCTTCCTAAGTGGAGCACTTTGTATTTGTCCTTATTAAACTTCATCCTATTTACCTCAGACCGTTTCTCCAATTTATCCAAATCATTTTGAATTGTGACCCTATCCTCCAAAGCAGTTGCAACTGCTTTTCCCAGCTTGGTACCATCTGCAAACTTAAGTGCACTCTGTATGCCAATATCTAAGTCGTTGATGAAGATATTGAACAAAACAGTCCCAAAGTAGACCCCTGCGGAACCCCACTTTGTTATACCTTTCCAGCAGGATTGTGAATCGTTAATAACTACTCTCTGGGAATGGTTATCCAGCTAGTTATGCACCAACCTTATAGAAGCCCCATCTAAGTTGTATTTGCCTAGTTTATTGATAATATCATGCGAGACCATATCAAATGTCTTACTAAAGTCTAGGTAAAGTATATCCTCCACTTCTCCTTTATCCACAAGACTCGTTATCCTATCAAAGAAAGCTATCAGATTGGTTTGATTTGATTTTGTTCTTTACAAATCCATGCTGGCTGTTCCCTATTACCTTATCTTCCAAGTGTCATGCCCACGTGTGCTGCTCAGGTGTGTTGCCTGCTCTGAGGTGTGCTCACAATGCTAGCCACGCAGGAAATAACATTCAAATTGTCCAGGGCTTTTCCTGTTCACCTTGAGGCACTCAAATTCTGGTCCAAGCAGGACACCAGAGGCAAAGTACCTTGACTTTCACAACTCTGTGTCTACACTTCAGTAAATGTGACCAGACCAGGTTGGAAATTGCATTACTCTTCGTAAAAGTAGGAGTACCCAAAATCAACTTCAGTAGCCCTCACGGTCAATTGAACAGACTTAATAGTTTGGATGCATTGTTTAGAAAATAGACAGTGTGACTAAATTTGATTTAAGCTCTTAGTGTAGACTGGGCCCAAGTTTATCATATCACAGCCGATGTATTCACTGCTGTTTTGTCTTAGACCAATGCAAAGATTTGGACTCTAATGGAATATTAATCTCTTCTCAGAAAGAATACAGAATTGAAGCGAACCAGTGAAACACACAGTAAAGCCATTGCTCAGATGCAAGAAGAGCACAGCAACACGCTACGTAAACTTGGAGAAAGTATTGCTGAATTTGAAAGGTATGCAAATCTTAACCTGGATGTGTTTGGGAGGGAGATATAGCTAGGGTGAACAGATGTCCTGAGTCTAAAGGGACAGTCCTATACTCAAGCCTTCCTGGAGGTATCCCTAATATTTCTTAAATGGGCCCAGTTGTCCAGTATTTTCTGTCTCCCCTCCCATCAGTTCTGTGGTGAGTTCTACTGGTGGCCTGTGTCCTTGCTCGCTAGCTACCCATTCTCCACTGGTTTTGGTGGCAGGCAGGTGGTCAGGCAAAGCTGCAGTGTTGAGGGCTCTTTTTGCTTATCCATCAATGCAGTCCCTGCTACATGCCTCCTCTTGGTGGGCATGGCCCTCTCACCCCTTCTCACATTTCTAGCTAGCAGTGGCTGCTTGCTGTGGTGGCTGGTGACTGCAAGCAGGTGGTCTGATGGGTGGGCAGCAGAGGTGACAAGTAACCACCCACCTTTATATGCTCTTCTACCCCCTCCCCCCATCCTCCACTGTCCTCTCCATGCTGGGCCACATGACTGCCTTAGCTCTACTGCTCCTCTGTATCCTACTGGGCAAGGTGTGTCCAGCACTGTGCAGAGAATCAGCTCCTGGTCTGAACATTCAGTTCACCGGCAGCCTGACAGGTTCCTTCCCTCTCCTCAGCCCTGCCTCTTGGCAGGGCTGACAGCCTTGCATGTGCCCATGTCACAGGGGAGTTCTTCTGCCCCCCAGCTAAGCTCTGGAGTGGTGTTCCATTTAAGCAATTTTCAACCTGTCTGTGTCCTGCCCCTTCAGGCTGTGCATCAGCCCCTGGGATGGGGCATAGCACCCTCTCTATACGCTACCCCTGCCCTATCTCCTGTCCCCAGACGCTGTCCCTTACTGAGATGCTTCTCTGGATTAGGGATGTTAAATTTAGATTAATAAACGAATCAAATAGTCAATGGAATTTCCATTGACTATATAAGGGCACCTCCGCCTTTGAACTGGGAGCATGGGGCTTCCTTTTGTACATTTCAAAAGCAGAATCACTGCAGAAGCAGCGCGAGCGGAGACCCTGCTTGCGCTGCTTCCCGCTGTGCCTGTACCTCCCCTGACCCCCCGCAGAGACGGTGTGCTGGGGGGAACTGACTTTTAAGATGGCTCCCCCCATCACCGGCACCTGTTCCCCACCCCTTGCTGCCTCTGCCCCCCCATCTGCCCCTCACTGATAGAGGCAGCAAGGGGATGGGGGGAAATGACTAGTCCCATCACTAGTTGACTATCAGATAAGCTTCTGCTTATCAGACACTTGACTAGTCTCTTACATCCCTACTCTGGATGGGCGAAGTCAGTTCACAATGCATCCTTATGGATCAACCCGATCCTGTCCATTCTGTAGCCAGGGGACAGGAGGTGGCTGGGGTAAGTCAGTGTCCAGTAGAAACTTGGCGGTGGTGTCTTTTTCTGCCCACAGAGAGGCTGCTAAGCTGCTTCTAGCCACAGGGGAGGGAAAAGATGATCTCTGCAAAGACACAGACCAAGTCATCCCTACCCCCATTCCCTGTGGCTGAAAATGGTTCTTGTCCCTTACCTCCTACACAGTGCTTAAAGGCTGTTGCTGGCCATGTTCTGGTGTAAACCCTCAAAAAATTGGGTGGGGGGGGTTGTGACCCTGCATGCCCCTCACATGTTGCTTCAAGACCTAGTGCTAGGTACCAAGAGAGGTGGGTCCATCCTGGAAGCCGGAGCAGGGAGACTCAAGTGCACTGGACAAGGAGGGTTCAGTCTGGTTGGTTGGGCATTCCCATCCTCATATATGAGAGCTGTGAGATCACCCCATGCAAACCTTAAAGATAAGAAGGCTAAATAAAGACTCCAGCTACTCTGTATTTCATGATGCTGAAAAGGATTCTAAAACTAGTAATCTTAAGTGGCTGAGGATACAAAAGTAGCCAGAATTCTTAGCTTTTCTGTGTATTAAAATTAGGAAAGTACTGGTAACATAAGTAATTAGGTCAATCTGGTTTTGTGTAACTGTTTGCTGTACATTAAGGCGTTCAGAGTTGTCTGACCTCCTGATGATTTCTGACAAATGGAGATTATTGTATTTGCTCATCTGTACTAAGAATTTTAAAATTTGGGTACAATTTCAACAGTATTCTGGGAGCTACTTACAATCTGCTCATTTCAATAGGTATCTGTATACTAATTTATGCTATATGTGACCAGGAGGCGGCACCACTGTCTCTGAGATGGGTTGTAAACACTTAGGAGGACAGGATTAGAATTCAAAACAGCCTTGATAAATTTGGTCTGAATTCAAGAAGATTAAATTCAGTAAAGACAAGTGCTAAGTACTATACTTGGAAAGGAAAAATCCACAACCAAGAGCTATGGAATAACTACCTTGGTAATAATACTGCAGAAAAAGATGTTTGGGGGCTGTAGGAAATCACAAATGAAATAGGAGTTAACAATGTGATGCTGGTGGGGAAATCATTCTTTGATATATTCGTGGAGTGTTGCATTTAAAAGGTGCGCGAACTGTCCCACTCAACTTGGTGCTGATGAGATCTTAGTAGGAGTCTGTTTCCAATTCTGGGTACCACATGTCAGGAAATACTTGGACAAATAGAAAATTTGACTGCTTCTCGTATGTTAAGGGCTGTTGTTAATAAGTCAGTGATCAATTGTTCTCCAAATCCACTAAAGTTGGGACAAGAAGCAATCTGTTTAATCTGGAGGAAGAGAATATATAAGAATAGTTAAGCACTGATACTAGAGGCTGTAGAGTCCCTGTCATTGGAGGTCTCTAATAGCAGATTAGACAAATACCTATCATGGATGGTCTTGGAATACTTCATCTCTAGGCTGAGGCAGAATTGACTAAATCACCACTTGACATGTACAGCCAGAAGGAATTTGTATTTGAGAAGGTTTCACAGAATGCTACAATGTGCATCAAATTTACAGTAGATTGTTACTGCCTTACAAAGGACATAACACTGTAAAATGAAGATTATCACCAAGTAATGGATGCTAAACTTTTCCTTCTAGTTACAAGGGATCTATGACTGAAGAAATGGCATGTCTCCAACTGGACAATTCTTCTTTACAGGAGAAAGTAGCTGAGTTGAGGGAAGCTGGTCAGGACATGCAACAGCAACTCTATGACCTGGAACATGCTAAAGACAAGGCAAAAGAAGAATATGCAAGGTAATGGATGATGTGATTGTTCCTTAAAGTGGGGCAGGGACATCTATGACCAGCCAATAATGAATATTTCTCCAGTACATCTAGTATTATGAACTGTTATTTTTTTGGAGGGATAGACACTCAACTGCAGGGCATTAAAAAGTTGCAAAATCCATGCAGTACATGTAATGCAGAGCCAGAGTTGACTCAATTCAGTTACAAACAGATTGCAAACAGATAAACAGAACTGTTAGCCTTCTTACCAGATCAGCGGTTGGGGTCACCAGTGTCGTACCTCGGTGTCTTCGTACCTCGGTACCTTCGGTGGTCTGAACTGTCAGTGTCAGCGTCATCTGGTCAGGGTCGTCCTGGCGTGCTCCTGACCTCTACTCAGTTGGTGGTGGTAAACTTTCGGCTGTGTGCGTAACAATCGGTACTCCCTCTGTCTAGAGTGTTAGACCCTGTGCACTTGGGTCAACACAAGAGATCTCAGAGGCACTGGAAATGACAGATGCAGGCAAGGTTTGAAATCAATCAAGCAGGTTTATTGTCAAATGCGAAGTTCTACCAGTTGGTAACAGATCAGTACAAGTTACACCACTGGGCACTATGGCCCGCATTGACAAGGTACCAACACCGGGCAGGCCTATTGCCATGTAACAGATATTAACAGCAGTTAGTCAAAGTTAAGCTACTGTGCATTCTGTAAGTTTAGGCAATGACACCTGCGGTTCAGGCACCTAGTGCGCCCTCCCCCCAGGTCGGCCGGAGAGCACCCTCTGCGGTGTACTTCTATAGACAGGTACAAACAATTTACATCATTTCTTTACATACCAGGTTACCACCCTCTGTTGCCTCGTTACCACCCCTCACCTTATGGAAGGGGGGCTTACTTACTGTCCCTCATGCTGAAAATTCCGACCTGGTCCTGAACCTAGGTCCGTATGTGCATTAGTTTTTTAGGGAGTTTTTGTACCAAGACATTTCTTAAGATGTTCCATTACTTCCCTTTGGCTTACAGTCTGTACCCAGTGCCTCCCTGTGTCCTGCCATGCTCAATCTAACTTACACAATTACACAGTTATCCGTAAGGCCTCTCTTTTGGCTCCTGTGTTACTGAACCAAAGTCTTGCTCACTAGATTGCAAGGCCTGTTGCTCTTTTCATGTTACAGGCCTCTATTTAGGCCTGCTGACTCCATGTTACTGACCCTCAACTTACTACAAGGGATAGCTAACTAAAATACCTGTTCTCCAATGGATGCTTAAAATTGCTCATCAGAACGTGGTTAATGGATTATCAATCTTTTTGGGTTTTTTTCCTTGTGTGTGGATGCCTTCTCCTTCTTTCCATCTACTCCTCCTCTTCCCCCTCGTCTCCCATAGAGTTATCTGGGAGGGGCGGGAAGGAGCCAATATTATTGGTTACACAATTATTCGATAGTCCCCAGATGCAGGATTGGCAGCCAGTGCATTGCTGGCCCTGCTCCCAGGGACCCCCCTGCCACCCTGCGCTGCTGCCTCTGTATCAGAGGCAGCAGTGCGGAGTAGCAGGGGGACTCCCTGAGAGAGGGTCCAGGAAAAGCGTTTTCATAACCGTGTAACCACTAAAAATTGTTGAAGCTACACATTCACTAAAATATATCTAACATCCCTAGTTAAAGTTCACTTTAATCTTGTCTCCAGGCTGAAGCAGGATATGTCTAGTAAACCAGTGGTGGATGATGTATTTTAAGATTATAAAAGAGGAGTTTGCGTCTTGAAATCAAAACTGATTTTTGCCATCTTTGTGCACAGTGACGTTTATAGTAACTTCTAGAAGTCGCTGACTCTTCAATTTAAAATCTTTCAAATCTATCTGTTTTAAGTTTTTCCTGCAGGATGACAGAGTGATGTCATCACGTCACCCTGCCTCCTGCTGTCCCATTTCCTCCCCGCTACTAACCCTCAGGAATTGGCAACCCATGGCCCTAGCCCTCAATAAGAGCAGTAGCATTGAAGGTGAGCTCCTGCTGGTGATGGGCTTCTGGGGGTGGGAGGGAGAGGAGGAAAATTGTGGGGAATGGGGAGTTGGTGCAGAGGCCCACTGTAGGGAGGCCAAAAAAGCTCCAGCTGTGGGAGGAAGGCAGGGGGCACCAGAAAGGCCTGATGTGGGGAGGGCATCAGACTAAGGGATACCCTGGCCCCTGAACTGGGACCGGGGGTGGATGTGTCTCTGGCAGCCGCTACGTGGCAGGCTGCTGGAAGTTGAGAGGGGGTGGAGCAGGGAGTCCCACTGGAGAGGCCTGGCGTGGGGTGGAAATCCAGAGTGGTGGTCATCCCGGCCCCGAACCAGGACTGGACGCCACATGGGTGAGCAGCTGCTGGAGTTTAAATGGAGCCATGCGGCTCTTCTACCATCTGGGGTCGGGGGAAAGGAAGTGGAATGCAGGAGCCACAGAGCCTTGCAGGGGCTCAGGTGGAGGGAGGGGAGCATGCAGCAGTCATGTGGCCTTGCCCCTTGCCGGTGACGGGCCGGAGCCGCGCAGCCTCCCCTTGCGGCTGGAGGGAGGGCGCTGGGCCAGTCACAGCATCGGTCTGTCCCAAGATGCCCCCCTCTTCCCCACCCCCTGGTGGCTGTAGGGAGAGAGCTGGGCCAGCTATGGCCTCTGTCCGGCCCAACATGTGCACACTAAAGATGTTAAATTGCAATTAAAGTATTAGTTAAGCAGTCAATAGGATTTCCATTGACAAGTTGATAGGCACTTCCGCATTCCTCCTTTGAAACATACAGGAGCCCCCACTGGAGCTCCATGCTGCGCTGCCGCTTTGAAATGCACAAGAGCCCCCACTGGGGCTCTTGTACATTTCAAAGGAAAAATGCAGAACACTGCATGCAGCCAGGGGCCAGCGAGAAGTACTGGTTACTCTGGCTGCACGTGGGCTGCCAGCTTTGAAATGTGCAAGAGTCCCTAGTGGGGGCTCTTGTTCATTTCAAAGTGGCAACACAGCCTGGAGCCTGGGGTTAGCTGGGGGCTCCCCAGCTGATCCTGGGCTCTGTGTGGCATTTCCCCAGAACCCGGGGTCAGCCGGAGGTGACGTTTCAAAGGGACTGCGCTTCACAGCTGGGCGGCCCCCCCCCGCCCCCCCCCCCCCCCCCCCCCCCCTTGCTGCCTCTATCAGCTTCAGCTACACCAGACTAACATGGCTGCATCTCTCTTACTATTCTATCAGATAGAGGAAGCTGAGGGGGGTGGGGATAGACTAGTCAACTGACTATCCAATAAGCATTTGCTTATCAGATAGTTGACTAGTCTTTTTAACCTCTCTCACACACACACCAGCCTCTCTCTGTGGTGAGAGCTGGGGCTGCCTATCCCTAGAGAGGGGGGTTGTCGAGCGTAGCGAGCAGGGGGCACTGCCCCTTAGTAGTTTCATTTAAAGGCTTTCAGGTTCACACTATCTTTGAAATGCCGAAGGAGACAAATAATCCATCAGCAATTGCTCACTTTTAAGAGTTCTTTTCTTTCAGGAGTATAAGATTCTGTTGCTTACATTAATTTTTCAGTTATTTGTTTAGCTTTGCAGGTCTGCAGGCATGAGATGTGTTCCTTTGCATATTGCTTGTGTGGGTAATTTAGTAACAGATACAGCCACGAAACCCTGAATTATTTGTTCAACACTTAACCAAGTTATTAGTGTCTTAACTAATATGACAAAGAAGTCCTCATTGACAAGACTTATAGGCTTTACAGAAACTTTCCATGTGGAAAAAATTGATAAATGAACTAGTGAAGTGGACAAGTATTGCAGGCTTAATTTAACAGGCCCTTTAGGGTACGTCTAAACTACATCCCTCTGTCGAAAGAGGGATGTAAATTAGGCAGATCGAAAGCGCAAATTAAGTGGGGATTTAAATATCCCGTGCTTCATTTGCATAGTCCTGTCACAGCGGTCTTTCAAAAAAGGGTATTTTGAGCGTGAAACCGCCATCTAGATGTGGTTCTTTTAATAATAATAAAAAAAAACACTTTTTTTCCCCAAGATCCTGTAATCTGTCTAGATGGCGGTTTCACTTTTGAAATACCCTTTTTCGAAAGACCACTGTGATGTGATTATGCAAATGAAGCACGATATATTTAAATTCCCCACTTCATTTGCGCTTTCGATCTGCCTAATTTACATCCCTCTTTCGACGGAGGGATGTAGTTGAGAGAGATCCTTATTGTCTTACTGTTGTCAGCCTATGCAACATTGCCTATGCAAACATTGCTATTTGCATGTAACCATTCTTTCTCTAGGTGTATTATCAGGACGGCTGCAAATTTTGATTACTGCTGACTAACTCTGAAACTCTCAAAATATTTAATGAAGTAATATCTATATGTTTAACCTTCTCCCTCCCCCTCCCCAGAATGCTTCTAGATGCTCAGACAAAGCTAGCACTAAAAGAAGCAGAAATAAGGAGAACCAAGGAATCCTGTATTTCACAGATGACTGAACTACAGACACAACTGGAAGAGCAAACTGAAGACTTCACGAAACAGCTTGAAATTGAAAGATCAAGGTAACTCCAGATCTCTGACTAGTCTAGTAATGGGAATACAGTAATTCCTCATTTAACATGTGCCCACTGAAAACATTTTCACAATAGCACATGTGTGGGGTTTTTTTTTTTTTCCCCAAGGGAACATTTTTTTGAATTACATGACCGTCCCCGGAATAACACGATTTCCCCAGCTGGCCTGTTGCTGGCGGCTACACAGGGCTTCCCCCACCTCCCTGCAAAGTGGCAGAGGGTTTGCCACTCGCTGCACCATTCCCTGGCGACCCCCCCCCCTTGCTGGACGCAGTGTGGGTCCCAGCAGACCTGTGTCAGTGGCATACTCCCAACTCAGTCCCCCTTCCCTTCCCCAGAGCCAAACACCTCCCCTTCCTGCTGCAACCCAGTGCCCTTTCTCCCACAACCTTATGTCCCTGTCCCAACAGACACCACCACTTGAAATGCAACCCCCACTTTTTCCATTATTTTTAATGGGAAAATTAACCCCACAGAACACGTTTTCACTTAACACGATCATTTTCTGAAACACATCTATAGTGTTACATGAGAAATTACTGTACATCTAAACTAGACTGAGGACTTCTTTTAATCTTCATTTGGAAATATGTGGTGATATAAATAGTCTTAAATATAGACACGAAACTGTTTGTGTTTTTGTTCAGGAAAACCATAGAGGAAAAGGTGGTTGCTAGCTTTAAAGAAGAGATACAAACCTGGCGTAGTCTCTATGAAGACTTGCACAACAAAACTAAGCCTTTTCAGGTTAGTTTCTGTGCTAAACACTTTTGGGGGTTTTTTAAGTAGCATCTGGAAATTTAAGATTCAGCATCAGAGGATCAATCCTCAACTATTAAAACAGTTGGATTTAACTTGATGATAGTACTATGCCACTGTTTTCCATCCCCGACTCTTATGACTTCTAGTGTCCCAATTTGGGGAATGGATACTAGCTGCTTCAACGTTTTCTTAAGTTTCAGTTTAAGAGGAACTAGAAGTGATGAGGGCGTAGCTATTTTTATTAAAGGAATAGGCAGTGATAGCTCTTTTTTTCGTTATCTGAAAGATCTATTCAAATTCTATTTCAGCAACAACTAGATGCATTTGAGGCAGAGAAGAATGCTCTCATGAATGAACATGGTGCAGCCCAAGAAGAATTGAACAAATTAAGTGATGCATATGCTAAGCTACTAGGCCATCAGAATCAGAGGCAGAAAATTAAACATGTTATGAAGCTGAAAGATGAGAATGCCCAGCTCAAACAGGTTTGTAACTGAAAAGAATGACATGTGTATCGCGTTCGGCTACTAAGCATCATCACCCTATTTTAAGATGAACCATCTCTATATGTTGACACTAAACAGCTGAATTTATAATTTGGGTGTTTAAACTCTCAATCGGAGACAGTTGCCTCTAGCCTGGAGCTGGAATAAGCCACTTCAGCTCCAGGCATAAATGTCTGGGCTAGTGTTTAACACTTCTGTTGCCAGATACCAGGTAGGAGATGACCTGTCTTGTGGGTTGGCCTGCTGCTAGACTTAATGGAGAAATGGCTCCCAAGATGAGCAACACTCCTACCAGGCAGTCCCATTTAATTAGTTTAGAACTCTTGCAAAGGAAGGAGAGATGCATTATTGTGCTAAAAGACACTAATAGAGCTTTGTGCTTCCAGAATGCCATGTTCTTGACTGTAGTTTCCAGCAACTGTAAAGCTTTAGTTTTTTTAGTTTTTACAGACCTCTCTTGGCTAGTGTTCAGTAACATGGCCTTATAGGTAACTGATTTATCCAGGCTTCATTCATAATGTTATGATCTCAACTTACACTCAAGTGTGTTTCCTACTTCAGGAGGTTTTAAAACTGCGTGCTCAAGTAGCTAAGGAAAGACAAGCACAGAGAGATCTTCAGGAGCAACTGTATGAAATTAAGGGTATCAGGCGCTTGGATCCTTCTAAAGCTTTCCAACATGATAGCAAGGAAAATGTTGCTCCCAAAACTCCTTTAAAAGAAGGTAAGTTTTGGATGTTGGTCGGACTGCATCAGTCTCCTGTGGCTTTTTTTTTTTTTTTTTTTTTTTTTTTCAGCACATGATATCAAAACATGGGTTAACTGTCAGGATGCTTTTTCTGTTAACCAATTGTAGCTGATAAAATTATACTATACGTAAAAATAGTAAATGCAACAATGAATTCCACTACTATGATTCATTAGGGTAATAGTGATTGCTAATTTGGCTCTTGAATCACTGAGGTCTGAGTATCACTAGTTCAGATCATGGGTAAGTGACCTCAATGACCTGAAATGATTCTTCAAATATAGTCAAAACAAGACTTCATATTATGTAAACTGTCCATTCTTCTTTGACAGACGTCCCTGTGGGTGCTCCACAGCAGGTATTGGTGTATGCCAGCACCTCAAACTGGATTCTTTACAGCAATGCATTGGGGGTCTGCGCATACGCAGCAGGTCAGACACATGGGCAGTGCTCAGCATTACAACGCATGTGCAGCCACTCTCCCTTTAGTTCCTTCTTACCATTGTTGGCTTAAGACGGAGATAAGAGGTGCTTCGTGTGGTGGTTTTTTTTTTTTTTTTTTTTTTCCCCCCGTTAATCCTGTAGCTTAATTTCAGCTCTCTCTTCTTCAGTAACTTTACACCATGTCCAAGTTTGTCTTCCTGGAAAAATAACTTGGAGGGGAAAAAAAAGTGGGCTTTTTTTCCCTCCTACTTATTTTTCCTGCTGTTTTGCTGTTCACCCCACTTACAATGCCGGGGTCACTGGGCTTTAAATGTTGTTCAGCCTGTAATAAGGCCATGCCCATCTCCAATGGACATTCTAAGTGCGTGAAATGCCTCCAAGTCCCATATTCAGCAGAACTTCCAGCACTGCGCCAAACACGTGGAGACTGGGACCTCCGCCTGAAAATGATTGTTAGAAAAGGCACCACATCCCTGCTCTGACCTGGGCACGCAAGGCCATGACAACATGAGACCTGAAAAGGGGGGAAAAAATCCTCAAAGAAATGGGTCTCTTTGTTACCACACAAGGGGGCGCACAACCAAAAGTACTGAGGGCTGAGAGGCCACTCACCTCAGCACATGCAACACCTTGGGCATTTCCAGCACTGATCGGACTTGCTCCCAGCATGGTACCTACTGAGGCTACAGGCCCTTCTATGTCTGCCTCTCACATCTTGACACCCACTACAGGACTGAGCACTGAGGCCTATTGACACAGCACCGCACCAGCCAGATGTGCAGCGTGTCGGCACTGTTCCACCACCTAATGGTTTCCCAGCTACCTCAACACTGCAACTTGCATCAGTGCCAACCACAATCATACCCGCTCCAGTACTGATGGCCACGGTACCATCCACTCCGGCACCCAGGTACTTACACCAGAGAGACCTCACGGTGTCTTCTACGTTTAATTCTCCATTCCTCGGTACTAATACATTACCTCTATCAGCAACACCGAAACATGTCTCATCACCTATACTTTTATCCAATGATGATGGCGATGAAGAGGGACTATGTTTCTCATCCCAATTATTGCCTGGTACTGAAATATCTGTGCCTTCAGCTCATCCCAGTTTTAGGCACCCCATCGGCTTGAGCATTGCCCCCCTGTAGTCCACACCCATGGATGACACCAGCCATGCCTTATGGTGCACAGTGGCAATATTGGAGCCCATGGACTTATGGCTACAGAAAGAGACACTCAAAAACCATACCCAGCCTGTACCTTCTCCTCCTCCACAATCTCCATCACTGCAGAGGAAGTAGCAGGAAACAGCTGATCCACAACTTCATGAGTCAGGCCCGGATAGATCCCTAAATAGAAATTCCTCCTCCTGGCTTGATGAGGTAGCCATGCCACTGCCTCCAACCATAGCTGATGACTTTACACCCTTTCAGGATCTCTCTAAGACGGTTGCAGCTGGCCTTAATATCTGCCACTATTTTCCTGACCTGCAAGAGAGTGGATAGGAAATACTGCATTCCCCCAAAAGTGTCAGAATTCCTCTTCACCCACCCCCAAGCTTTCTGGTTCTGGATGCTACCCATCAGAGGAACAAGTAGCATTAGTCCCGTTCCGCTCCACCAGACAAGGCCAGTGAAGACTATATTTATTTGGCAGGAAAGTTTGCACATCATCCACATTGCAGTTCAGAGTTGCCAATTACACCACACTCCTCACTAAATATGATTTTTAACAACTGTTCAAAGCTCAACACCTTTTGAGGACATGCCCAAGGCCACAAAGCAGCAATTCAAGGCAGACATTGTGGAGAGACCTAAAATATCTTGAACAGTGCTGCAGGTTACTCTTGATGCTGCAGACACCATCACTAGATTGATAGCAACTGTGGTTAAGACTGGCCTCCTGGTTCAACTCTTCAGCGTTCCCCTGTGAAATACAGGCAACTGTGGAGGATCAATCATTTGAGGGGGAGATGCTCTTTTCAGCTAAGAACCAACTTCACTCCATGAAGGATTCCCAGGTGATGTTCTGCTCTCTTCGTATCCACACACCTGCGACCAGAAGAAGGCAATGTAAATACCAAGCATACCCAAGACCAAGGGGGTGGGCAATAATTTTGGAAGGGGGACCATTTCACAAATTTCGGAATTGGCTGTGGGCTGACACGGAAGGGGCGAGGCCTCAGGTGGAAGGGGCAGGGCTCAGAACTACCCTGTTGGGTACATTGACCTTATTTTCTGAACCAGTTGCAGCTAGTAAGAATGATTTAATTTAAATTCTGAAACAGATTAAGCGTTTTAACTTTCTCTGGTTAGTTTTTCAAACTTTATTTAGAATGAAGCTTGAAAAACTAAAATTTGTCCAACACAAAAGGTTTCAATATTTTCTTTGTTTATGGAAGAAGTGGGAAACCCTTTTTGGGTCTGGGGTCACTGTCCCACAAAAACAGTTGGGGACCACACAAGTGAGAAGCAAAAAAACTCCTCCAAAACCTACCAACACTCACTGATGTGGCCCCAACTGAGACACCTCACTCCTCTGGTGCCCCAACCTCACAGGGTGAGGGAAAGGGGGGAACTGAAGTTCAGGGCTTCCTATAGACAAGATTTACTTTTCTGGGGTTCTAGAGTTAGTGGATTTTATAGACCTCCTCTGAGTCTGAGGTAGGGGCAAAAATATGGGGGTACAGTGCATGAGAGAGGGCTGTCAGCAAGTAGGATAGGGATGGGGTGCAGGATCTGGGAGGAAGATGGGGTGCAGAAGCAGGCTGGGAGTAGGGTGTCTGGCCAGGAGGAGGGAGCAGAAACAAGGGAAGGTGCAGTGTGTGGCCAGGAGAGAGGATGCAAGAACAAGGGAGGGTGTCGAAGCAAGCTGGGGGTGCGGAGTCTTGGCAAGGGGGTGGAGAGTGAGTGACGGGGATTGGGGTGTGGAGGTGTGGGCATGAGGGGAGACGCTTACCTGACTTCATGCCCCCTTGCAGTGGGGAAAGTGTCACACATCACTTCGCTGCCATGCCCAGGGAGGGGCAAGGAGCTCAGCCCCCCCACTCAGCGGGAAGTCCATGCAGTCACGAAGCTGCAGCACCAGCTCTGGCTTCCTGCTCAGAGGGAGGGTGTGTGTGTGTGTGTGTGTGTGTGTGTGTGTGTGTGTGATATGACCTTTCCCGACAGACCCAGCTTGTGGACGAGAGCAGCGTGAGCGGCTCCATGTCCTGCTCTTCCCCCAGTGGGATAGAGAGGGGTGGAGAGAGAAAGTGCACGGGGCAAACCTGCTAAGCCTGAATGTGCCCCGCCTTCCTGCACCCCAGCTGGGATCAATGCAACCCTCCTGGGGCTGAAGCAGTAGTTCCAAGGCCCTGAGGTCCAGGAGCAGCCCAGCCCAGCTGCACCAGAGCCAGCCCTGGTGAGGAGCCTCTGCCCTGGCGCTGCTGCCTCCTTCAGCAGCATGGAGGGGTGGGGCTGATCTCCTTCCCCTCCACCCCCCCCTTCACCCCTGCCCTGGGCCTGTAATTGTCCTGTGGGCTGGATCAAAGCCCAAGACAGGCCGAATCTGACCCGCGGAGAGGCGTTTGCTCACCCCTGCCCAAGACCAAGGTATCCAGCCTATGCATATCAGCACCAGAAACACGATCACCAACTGCAACAGCAATGCAGTTGCAGCAGGCAACAGCATAGACTCGGAGTGGCACCAATAATCAGCCGCAACAACCAAATAAGTAAATTTGAGCCTCTGGTTGGGAGACCGAAAACGATTGGCAGAACATCTGATAAATGGGTGCTTCAGATGATCCTCTCGGGATACACCATACCTTTCCTCTCCATCCCTCTCTCCTCCTGCCCCATTCCTCTTCAAGGACCATTCTCATGAAGCCTTCTTATTAGGAAGTCAAGCACCTCTTCCAACTGGGCACTATTGAAGTCCCATAGTAATTTCATGGGAGAAGATTTTACTCATGTTATTTCCTCTCACAGACTGGAAGATGGCATCCAATTTTGGACCTTAGAGATCTTAACAAATTTGTAAAGAGGCCAAAATTCGAGATTGTAAGGTTGACTACCATTATCCCTTCTCTGGAGCCAGAAGATTTGTGTTTTGTCTTGACTTGCAGGATGCCTATTCATGTTGTTGTTCATCCTGCTCATTGATGATTTCTCAGTTTCATCTTAGGTATCCAACACTACCAATATATTGCCCTACCTTTTGGACTCTCCAATGCACCAAGAGTTTTTTCCCAAGATGCTGGCAGTGGTTATGACCCACCTCAGGAAACAGCATGTTACCATCTGTCCTTATCTGGACAGTTGCCTCAAGGCAAAAACCGAGGATGATTTTTGTTGCAGCACTTACTTCATCAAGAATGCTTCCAATCGTTTGGGTCGATTAATAAACGAGTCTCTGTACTCATACTGATGCAATTCATTGGAGCACACCTTGATTCAGCCACCACCACAGCGTCTCTACCGCAAGACCAGATTTTTAAAGATTCACAGTCTAGCTCTAAATCTGTGCCTCATGTCACCACACACAACTGTCTTGAGCTACTAGGCCACATGGCATCCTGTAATCCTCCTGTTCCAAATGATTATCTCTTCATGAGATGACTTCAGAACTGGCTCAGGACAGTCTACAAACCAAACCTTCATCCTCTAACCAAAACCCTGTCTATTCCTCCCAGAGTAAAAAGTGCAGTATTATGGCAGACAAAACCAGAGAATCTATGCCTCAGCATCCCTTTCCAAACTCCAGAACCCACTGGGGTCATTACTATGGACGCCTCCCTTACAGGGTGTGGTGCATACATGAAAGACTCTACAACTCAGAATCTATGGACCCCAGCAGAACAGGCCCTACACATCAGTGTCCTCAAGCTCAGAGCCATGTGGCTTGCCTGTCAACATATGTTTTCCAGATATGAGAAAAGAAATCAGAATGTGTACCGCCCACATCACCTTCCTGTTTATGTAAAACAAGCAAGGCAGAGCGTGCTCCCATGCCTTATGTACAGAGGCTATTGCCCTGTGGAACTGGTGCCTCACCCATGCTGTCGAAGTACATGTCACCTTCCTGGTGCCTTGAACCCCACTGCTGATGCACTAAGCAGAACTCTACCTCAAAACCATGAGTGGCAGATCAATCAGAGTTCTCGCAACCATCTTTGAACAATGGCGATACCCTTGGTAGACCTTTTGGCTGCCTCAGAGATGCCCTCGTTCAGTGGAACAATCATCTACTATGTCTTCCCTTCAATTGGACAGCTCTCAAAATAAGGAGGGATGGGGCGAGGATCATTTTCGTAGCCTCTTGCTGGCACTAGCAACCATGGTTCCCTTTCCTGAACAGAATGACTCTGTTCTCCAATCAAGCTTTCGTGAAGTCCAAAGACCTTTTTTCCAACCAGTGCTCCAGGCTTCACACCCTCCATTTCTAACACTGCACCTAAAAGCCTGGTTATCTAGATGGCTCTCAGGGCTAGAGCTACACTGCTCAACGCAGGTACAAAATGTGCTACAGTAGAACTCCCTCACCTCAGAAGACATACAGGAGCAAACGGTCCCATTTTGTTCATTTCACTACTCCCTGCAACATAGGTCCGGATATGGCCCCATTACCAGTGATATTGGATTACTTATTGCATTTTTTTAAGCATTCGCATCTCTCCATCCACTTGGCTGTGATCGCAGCATTCCAGATAAGGATTGATGATGATACCATCTTTGCTCATTCCATGACAAAGTGATTCCTGAAAGGCCTACAAGTGTACCCAGATGTAACCATTCTACATACACCATAGAACTTATATTTGGTGCTAAACGCCCTCACAAAACTGCCATTCAAACCCATGGCTACATGCTCGCTTCTCTACCTGTCCCTAAAAATAAATACATCAGCCCAGTGGGTAGGGGAAATGGCTGCCCTAAAGGCAGACTCACCCCCCTCCCCCAACACCATCTTCAAAGATAGTGTCTCTGAGACCTTCCCTAAAGTCTGTTCGTCTTTTCACATCAACTAGACTATTTACTTACCCATATTCTTTCCCAAGGCTCATGCCAATACCTTTGAAGCACAAATGCATACCTTTGATGCACTTTTCTTTAACCTCCCTAGAACAAAACCTTTCAGAGTGTCCCCAAAACTCTTCATTTCTATCGCAGAACACAAGGGTCCACAGATATCAATTCAAAGATTGTCATACTGGGTCTCAGACTGCATTAAAATGTGTTACCATTAAAACCAGTTGCCACCACCTACCTTGATTCATGCATACTCCTCCAGAGCAGTAGCCATGTCAGTTGCTTACCTGCACAAGGTCCCTGTTGAGGACATACGTGCTGCTGCTGCATCATGGACCTCAGACCAAACCTTTGCCAGGCACCACACTTTCTCAGGCTCCCCTTCCAGCAGAATGGTGAAGGCTGTTGTGTCTAGTTTACTTAATTGACCCAGAGTCCCTACCTCCATAGAATACATTGCTTTGCAGTCACCTGCTGTGGAGCACCCATGGACATTTCTTGAAGCAATTTCTCACCTTGAGATGTGTGTCCCTGTGAGTGCTCCACTACCCTCCCTTCCTTCTACTTTGGACCCCTATTTCTTTTGATCAGATCAGGTTTCTGGGTAGAGAAGTAACTGATGGGAGGGTGGCCGTGCATGTGCAATAATACTGAGCAGTACCTGTGTGCTTTGCCTGCCACACATACGTGGCCCTCCATGCACTGCTGTGAAGAATCCGGTCTGCAGCACTAAGACGCACTGACACTTGCTGTGGTGCACCCACAGAGATGCCCATCTCGAAAATCAGTCACTGCTAAAGGTGAGTAACCGCCTCTTTGTGGAGAAGAACAGAAACATAACTTAATATGGGTTGGCCCTCCCCTGTCTAGCACCCATGGGACCTGATTAGTCCTGAACAAGGGCTTCTGCCAGATTTGAGAGGTCAGTTCCAACTCTTCCTTCCCAGCTCTAGCTGTCACCCCCCAACCTCTGGCCTCCTGGACTGACTGCTCTTACCCACCCCACTCTGGCTCCTAGCCACAGGCCCTCCTGTTGGCTGGATCAGAGTCTTCTTGTTTTTAGAGGTTCAACCTGTAGCAGGAATTTAATGTTTCAACAATGTCTTGGATAATTGCACAGTAGTAGAAACACTTTATCAGAAACTCACTGCCGCTTTTCTATTGCAGGCAACAGGAACAGGTGCTAACTTGCCCTTGGTTTCAAGAGGATCCTGTTTAACTTGCTGGGAAAATCTAAATGTTTCATAGTAGGGTCAAGGGACCACTTCTATATTTCAAAATCAAAGATGGAGGTTGCACAATGATGGGTCTAGTAAGGATCCTTAAGGAAAAGGCTTTCTCAAATAGATCAAATTACCACCTAGGGGTTTCGAATGACTGTGCCCTGTAAAGGTTCTCTGTTCAAAGCCTGCTACACACTAGCACTCAAATATTTGGCATGTCACTTCCTAGTGTGTCTCAATTGTCAGTTGAAGAGAACAAAATACCAGATGTTTTAAAAATCTGTGTGCCTCTATGGCCATATAGAGCAAAAGGTATTTAATTTAAATTCAAGAAATAAAGGGGTTTTACATATGTCTCCTGCACATGATTTTTACATGTTAAGCTAAACTTCTTCACTGAATGCTTACTGATGCAAGCAGCATTTTGAGAGACTGGTTTGTTTCACATGTGACTCCCTAAACCACAAACGTGAAATCTAGATTGCAAAGTTGATACCTAGTCAATTCCTGGTAGATGCCATGCCACGTAAATCACAGTTGACATTCTAATTGACATTCTTAGAGGTCCATGACTGAAGCATCTTGCACTGGAAGTCTCTGGTCAGGATTATCTGTGCCAATCAGAACTTGTTTGATTGCTTGTGCTCCTACATTCTGATAAGCATCCATCTCCAGGTATGTCAGTCACCTTTAATGAATGTTAAATTCACCTCTGTTAACACTTGACTTAAAAAAAAAAAAAATCTGTCTGCATAAATTCAACACATTAGGAAAAACAAGCTGGTCTTTTTATTTATATGAATGACACGGGCAGTAAGAAAAAATAATCTAAATGTTTTGTTAAAATACACTGGATAACATGTTATAAGGGCTTATGGTGAATAAAAATTGCTTTAATCTGAAGTTCTAAATCTTAATTTTAAATCGCATGTTCACGCTCTTTCTCTCACGTCATACTTAAGCTAGCTGTGCCCTCTGTAACAGACAGTAAGGATTATTGGAATCTATAATGCTAACCTAAATACTCCAAACTTCGGAATACTTAGTGTTAATCCGAACACCAAGGACTTAGTTCGGATTAACTTCGGACTGCCGCGTGTAGCCACAGGCAGTCAGTTCAAACAAAGGGGATTTAAAAATGGCGCCCACCCGGGAACGTGCAAATGAAGCCCAGGATATTTAAATCCTGGGCTTCATTTGCAAGTTCGAATGCCTACATAAGCTACCCTAGATCGAACTAGGGGGCTAGTGTAGGCATACCCTAAGGTTCTGCAAGACTATTGGGGGGGTTTTAAAAGTTTTTTCCAGTTACAAACTAACAAAACGTGGATGGTAACCCAACTCCATTCATCTGAAGAAGTGGGCTGTGCCCACGAAAGCTCATGATACTATCCATATGTTTTGTTAGTCTCTCTAAGGTGTTGCAAGACTGTTGTTTTTTAGATCATTCACGAGTGTCATACTGTGGGAGATGTGGGGAATATTTGTAGCTCATTCAGTTAAGAAGTATCTGTATCTCTTGTGTTCCTGGCTTACTGTTGGATATTCAGCCCCCTGAAGTTTTTGTATCTCCTTCTCTCTTCTCCTCCCCCCACCACCTGAAATGTGCAGTGATTTTACTTTCAGGAGGCCTGAGGAAGAAAAGCCAATGTAGATACAGATTCAGGTCCTAGGCTCTTTCAGGCTAGAACAGTGGTCTTCAACCTTTTTACACCCAAGATCACTTTTTAAATGACAGACCAAGCCAACATCTACCACCCCGCCCCTTCCTTGAAGCCCTGCCCTCTCTATTCTCCTCCTCTCCATCACTTGCTATCCCCAAACCTTATACTGCTGCTTTAAAAAAAAAATTCTGTAGGAAGAGGTTTTTCCAACATTTGGCCTGTCTAGACTAGACCAAATGTCAGGAAAAAAAAAACCCTTCTTTTGGAAGCCACCTTATTCCTTGTGGAAAGAGGAATATAGGGGTGACCAAAAGAGCCTGTTTGGCTCTTCCACTAAAAAAGCGGAAGAACAAACGCATCCCTGGATGCAGAAGAGTTTTTCTGGGATATCTCCAGAATCCTGAAAAACTCCTGCAATCTAGCTGGACCCTTGCTGTGTTGAGACAGGATGAGTAGTCTCTGGGGTGGGAATGAGGGATTTGGGTGTGAGAGGTGCAAGCTCTGGGAGGAAATCTGGATGCAGGAGGAGGTGGAGAAGGGGACACTGGCTCCGGGAGGGGGCTCCTGGCTGGACAGTGTTGGGATACTAAGCAAGCAACAGGCTTGTGGATGTGAGGGTGCAGGAATTTGGGTTGGAGTGTGTGAGGGGCTGAGGACATGAGGTTCCAGTGTTTGATAGGCTCAGATCTAGGGTCTGGGGAAGGGGGAGTGCAGGAGTGGTTGTGGCCAGATGGGGGCTTGGCCCCAATTGGGGGTTTGTTGGCCAGGCTTCATTTTTAAATAGAATACTATGTTAAACACAAAAAGTTTCTGCATTGTCTTTATTTATGAGAATGGCAGGGAACCTGCCT